TAGTTCACCTTTACGTAAACTTACCTTGTGTTTACTTGCCACAAGTCCCAAACTGTTTTTCCAGTTTAGACAATATTTATGTTGACTAAATATTAGCACAAGCAATTGGCATGTTCACCAACACTATGGCTGATCGCTGGCCATATGTTGTAGCCTTTACAAATTGATTTTCATTTATGGACACTTACAATGGCATCCATTCTTCTCAGCCATGGTCAGCAGAGCTGGTCTATGAGATTAGTGGTATGCTCCATTTGGGTGTTCCTCAAAGAATCACCTAGGGAGAACCTACAAATTGTGCTGCTCAGGACACTAAACCAATTAACTCAGACCCGTTGCGGGTGGAACTCAGACCTCAGTAGCTGTCAGCACACCCCAGGCAAGTCCAAGGTGAGGCAAGTTGGAGAACTTGTTCCCCAGACCCATGCTTTCAAGGCTTTGCTGTGCAGGAGACTCAAGGCTCTTTGTTAAATGCAGATGGGATTCAAAGGTCTGAGTGTGTCTGAGATTCTGCATCTCTGACAAACAAATGTCCTTGTAATGTGGCTACTTCTCCTAGTCCAAGGAACACATGTTGGATAGCAAAGCTGTAGTCCTTTCAAGAGCCTCTGTATCAGCTTGCAAATAATTTCCTAAAAATTATTAGTTCCTTTTTGTCCCTCCTTATTTTTGGTATCTGACTTTGAACTCATGGCTTTATATTTGCTAGGTTGGCACTTGCACACACCTCCAGCCATTTTAGCTTGTAATTTTGAGAAAGGGTCTCACTTTTTCCCTGCTGACAAGGATATTTATCCTCTTATTTGTGCTTCTTGCGATAGCTAGGATAATAGGCATGTACCACCATGTCCAGCTATTGGTGGAAATTGGGTGTTGTGAATTTTGGGCCTAGACTGACCTTGAACTGTGATCCTCCTGATCTGAACCTCTTGAGTAGCTATGATTACAGGTGTGAGTCACTATGCCTGACTCATTAATTCTTTTGAGTTTGTGATTATTTCCATGGTTTTAATGGCTCCCCTATGTCTTGCTTCCTCCCCATTGTCTTGCCTATATTCTATAGCCATCTGCCCATCATAACATAAACTCATTCTCCATTTCCCTCCAGACACTAATTCTTGTGAAAACAACCCACACACTAAAATAGAAGTAAAGATCCATTTAGCTAAACCTAAGCATATTTTTCTGAAGAACATATTTTTCTGAGATCTTCACTGGGCATTCCTATAGACTAAACACACTCTCTGAATGTTGTGTGATTTAGCAACGGATAATAATCCAATATCTGGGGGCTGGGAAGGTGGCTCAGTGGTAGAGCGCTTGCCTTACATGCATGAGGCCCTGGGTTTGATTCCTTAGCACCACATAAGCAAAAAGAAAAAAGCCGGAAGTGGCGCTGTGGCTCAAGTGGTAGAGCGCTAGCCTTGAGCTGAAGAGCTGAGGGACAGCGCCCAGGCCCAGAGTTCAGGCCCACGACCGGACCCCCCCCAAAAAAAAAAATCCAATATCTTAGTTACTGCAGTTCTAAGTAGATTCATAGATGGGATTACAGGTATCAGCCACTGCCACAAACACTAGATCTTCAGTTCAAAAAAATTATCAATGATCACAAACAAGAAATAGAGAAAGCATCAAGCACAAGATTCGTTTTCAGAATTGCTTAGAATTCTAGATCATAATACCCTGGGAAATGTATTTCTGGGCAATTGTCTAATAGCTTTACAATAGTATTTATCAAATAGTTATCTATGGACTTTAGTCTATGGATATATCCTTGGTACTTAATGCTGATATTAAGTTAAAAATTGATATAAAGCACACTGGCTCATCAATGATGACCAAGAGCTAGCTCACAATTCCTATTCCTGCTTTTATATCTCTATTTATAATTGTATAGATGCCAAATTTCATCTCACTATTGCTGCAGCAAAAGAATAAAGAACAGAGGGAGAGTTCATATAAAAACCATGTGTTTGAACCAAGAGAACATTAAGGGAGTATAATATATAAAAATGTCTCAGTAGGTCAATGTTTGAACCAAGAGAACATTACAGGGAGTATAATATATAAAAATGTCTCAGTAGGTCAAATAGGCAAACCTTTTAGGACTGAAAGGCCATACCACATCCTATTTTAGACTTGTTGAAACTCAAATAGTATAATAAAAACCCATTCACAGAGATAATATTACACATGATAAGAAGCTAGTAAAATGCATTTGATTATCATTGACTTGCATCTTACTGATATTTAATTTATACATTTGTTTTGTTCTGCAGTGGATTCAAAAGTAGCATTCTATAATACTTATGGGAATGAACGCCAGGAAATGGAAATAAGAAGCGATTTATTTGTTGTTGTTTTCATTTTCTTTTCATCTTATTTGTTCATTTATCTGTCTTTGGGAAAGGAGGAAGTGGCACAGAAGTGAGCAAATGGGTGAGCAAAGGGTGAACAAATGCAGCAGTGATACTCACTAAACACTACTGAAAATGAACTGCACAACTTGTGGGTGGGGATGGGAGGGAAAAACTGTCAGAGAATGAGGGAAAGGGTGACATAGCTCAAAAAGAAATGTATTCTTTATCTGACTTAAGTAATTGTAACCCTCTGTATGTCACTTTTACAATAACAATAAAGAAAATAAAAATTTAAAAGTAGCATTGTAGTTTTAGTTTGGCATGTTCAAGCAGCTTTTGTTTGTTGGTACTGGGATTTGAACTCAGGGTCTTGAGCTTGCTAGGAGATGCTCTACCACTTGAGCCATGGACAAAGCCATTTTTCTTTGTTTTTATATAGTGTTTCATGCTTTTGTCTAGAGCTGACTTTAGACCACAATCCTCCTGTCTCCACCTCCTGTGTGGCTACAAGTACGATTTGCACCACCGCACCTGTTTATTATATGTGGAGATGGAATAGCACTAATTTTTTTGCCCAGGCTGTCTCAAGCTACAACCTTCCCAATCTCCACTTCCTGAGTAGCTGATATTATAAATGTGAGTCATGCGCTGGGCCCTCAATGAAATGAAATTAACAACTTAATAAATTTTATATTAAGACATTGCTGGGAAAGTATTTTGTAAGACATTTACTTTATTCCAGTGTTTTCATTCCTCATGTACATGTTCAATGGTCTATTACATCAAACACTTCATTCTAAAGGAATGTTAGCCCAGTGGTGGTGAATCACATCTGTAATCCTAGCAACTCAGGAGGCTGAGATCTGATAATCACAGTTCAAGGCCAGCCCAGATAGAAAATGCAATACATTGGTCAATCAGCGCTCACTCCTGAGAGATCTGTATTGATTACAAGTATTTCAAAAGTAGAGCTGGGGCTGGGAAGGTGGCTCAGTGGTAGAGCACTTGCCTTGAATGCATGAGGCACTGGGTTCAATTCCTCAGCACCACATAAACAGGAAAAAGAAAGCTGGAAGTGGTGCTGTGGCTCAAGTGGTAGAGCGCTAGCCTTGAGCTGAAGAGCTAAGGGACAGCACCCAGGCCCAGAGTTCAGGCTCACCAATGGACCCAAAAAAATTTTTTTAAATAAAAAAAGTAGAGCTGTTTTGGAGAAGCTCATCGTTTTGGCTGCTCTAGTAATGAATGCTGTGTATTCTGGGCACTGATGACTCATGCCTGTAATCCTAGCTACTGAGAGGCTGAGATCTGAGGATCATGGTTTGAAGTTGGCTCAGGGCAGGAAAGACTGTGAGACTCTTATCTCCAATAAACTACTAGGGAGAAAAAAAGCCAGAAGTGAGACTGTGGCTCAAGTTGTAGAGCACTAGTCTTGAACAAAAGACTCTCAGGGACAGTGCCCAGACCCTGGGTTCAAGCCCCAGAATTGGCAAAAAAGAAAAAAAAAGATAAAAAAGAAATGCTATGTATAAAAGAATGATTTCAAAAATAATACCTCATGAAGAAAATATTTGTAAGTTTGTAAGCAACTCAGTGTGGTTTTCCAGTGTAGCAGAGGAACCGCCTTTTAAATAAAATTATAGTTCATAGGTAGTTTCATTCTTTTTCTTTTTAGTAGACATAGAACATATCATTTTGCTGTGAAAAGCTATAGTTGGTTTAAAGGCATTAAAATTCATTTATTTTATTTTTTTATTTTTGTCGGTCATGGGGGCTGAACTCTGGGCCTGGACGCTGTCTCTCAGCTCTTCAGCTCAAGGCTAGCACTCCACCACTTGAGCTACAGCACCACTTTGGCTTTTTTCTTCTTATGTGGTGCTGAGGAATCAAAACCAGGGCTTCATGCATGCGAGGCAAGCACTATACCTCTGGGCCCACCTTCCCAGCCCTAAGTCCTTAAAATTTTTATTGGAATAGCTTGGATATACATAGTTCAGTGTAAAAAAGTCAAGATTCACCTGTTAAGTCTTTTGTACATAGTTGGTTCCAAATAATGATTTAGTCAGTTCTTAGAGATTACAAATTTATACATGGGCTATTCACAAATTGAGACATTTTTAATGAACAATAAAATATTCAACAATGAAATATTCAATAAAATTCAAAATTCAAATATTCTATAGATATTTTCAAATATTTAGATGTTTGATATTATTTAGAAACAATAGTGGGATATTTTCACCCTTCAATGCAAATTATATGGCCTGATAGGGGTATTTTTTTTAATCTAAGTGCAGTTTTCACTTGAATCTGCCTTTGATAGAAACTCTGTTATATACAATGTTGACACACCTAACAGCTTTAGTTATACAGTTCACAAATACAGGTTAACCGTGTGCTATTTTCTGCAAGATGCAGTTTACTATTTCAAATACTTCTCCTGAGCCTTTTCTATGAGACTTTTAGCTAACTGGAAGAAATATATCTCAGATGTAGTTAACAACTGGCATATTGTTGCTAAACACAGCAATAAACAGTAATCAAAGGGATAAATTATGGCACTATCAATCATAATTTTGTAGTTTAAATTCCCCTACAGACTAAGCAAAATTAAAACTCGTCCCAAAGGCAACGAATACTCACATGATGGCTGCCCATGTTGGTGTTCTGTTCTGTGTTTTATTAAGAGAGATCAGTCTTTCAGCTGACCAAGTTTATAATGCCTTTCCGAGAGCTTAATAGCTCTTGTGTTTAATAAGTAACTTTTGGAATTGGATTTCTATACGTTGTTTGGGATGGACAGATAAAGGTGAATTTTATGAATAAGATGAAGGGTTTAAACTGCCTTGGAAAGACAGCTTTTTAAAACAAAATACTAATAAAATTGAAGCTCTTTAGGTTAAATAACTTTTCACAACCAAAAAGCTGTCCCGGCCTCGTTTCTAGATCATTGATTTATTTTTCCATATTGTACGTGTTTAAGGTTTTCTCTTACTCATGAAAGTATTAACTAAATAAGCTGAAAATTTTAAACTATCTTAATGAATATTCCTATTGTTGTTATGGAGAATTTTGTTAAAGAAGTAGGGTTTGAACTCAAGCCCTTGTAATTGCTAGGCAGGTGCTTTACCTTTTGAACCATACCTCTAGACCTTTTTGCTTTGTTACTTTTCCTTTTGCTCAGGTGATCTGGATTTTGATCCTCCTGTTTATGCTTTCCTTGTAAGTAAGATGACAGAGGCATCCCTGAAAGAGGAATAAGAGGGACACTCTACTAAACCCTGCTTTTTGAGATGGGTGTCTTGGGTGTAAGCCTGTGTTCCTGGCTACACAGAAAATGCCATAGCTTCATTGAGTTGCTCTAGACCATCACTTTCACTAGTTGGATTCTGTTTTGTTTTGGCTTGCTTTTGCAATGGGTGAAGATAAAATGCAGAGCCTTATATTTTATAAATTCAAATGATGCTATGTTTACATGGTAATTTTTTTTCTAATAATGAAAAAAGATACTATGAAAAGTAAGGCTACTGACCTCCCAGACTCATCTATCTATATCTGTCTTGGTCTTTTTCTTCTCAACAAGATTTTTTATATTAATTAATTAATTTTTTTACAAGGCATGGTTCCATGCCTTGCATGTTTCCTATACTAAAGATATATCTGATATTGGCACATTTCTTTCCAGCATAAGCATAGTGATCATTATGAGAGTAAACCAAGACTTAATTAATCCACCATTACTATTTGTTTAGGTTGCTTTTGGTGCTTTGCTTGAATATTTTCTACACATGTTTACTTGTGTAAACTGAATAAAATTTTGAAGTGGAATTGCTGACCAAAGAATAGTTGAAATGCCAATAGATATTTCCAGGTTATCATCCACAAAGGAATAAATACGGAGACACAAAAATCTGAACCACTAGACCATTTTTTTTTGGTGCCAGTCCTGGGGCTTGAACTCAGAGCCTGGACACTGTCCCAGAGCTTTTGTGCTCAAGGTTAGCACTCTACGACTTGAACTACAGCTCCACCTTGGAGTTTTGGTGGTCAATTAGACATAAGAGTCTCATGCACTTTGCTGCCTGGGCTGGCTTCAAACCATGATCCTCAGATCTCAGGCTCCTGAGTAGTTAGAATTGCAGGTGTGAACCACTGACTGGTACCCAGATGGACCATACTTTCTATTTTATTTTATTACCTGAAACTAGTTGTACAAGAAGGGTTCGATTAAACATGTCTATTTATATGTACAAATCGTCTTGATCAGTGTTACCCTTTCCCTTCTCCTATCCTCACCCGTCTCCTCGTTTCCATTTTCATGTATGTACATTCAGTATTATGACAGTATTCACCCACAATTCCTCTATCCATTTTTTGCCATCTTTCTTTTAGCTCCCCACCTTTTCCCCAGTCAAGAGATGTTCTAGTTTTCTGGTATTTATTTTATTAAACTGCTTGTTAACTGCTCAAATGAGTTATAACCATGAATCTCACTCTTGCCTGTATCATACCTTAGTCAGTTGGATCATGTATATAGGGATGTTGCCTTGTATGAGTTTACATATATGTTTAGATTTTTAGATCTAACTTCCACATACTAGAGAAAACATGGGCACTTTTTCCTCTCTGAGCATGTCTAACTTTACTCAATATGATTTTTTTCTAGGCCCATCCTTTTCTCTATAAATAACATAATTTGATTTTTTTTCTGATAGATAAACAAAATTCCATTGTATATATTTTTTGATCCATTCTCATCATTCTTGAACACGAACTGATCCATGGCATTTACTTTCAAAAGAAAATAATTCACAGCCCCTACAATCCCATGCTAGTACTCCTTTTCCACACATCATTATCAAAATGTTCTGTGAATTTCAAAGAAGAAAGGTGATTATTTCACGTTGTAATTTCCATCCCTCTTAGTTAATAGCCTTAATATATTTCATTTCTTTTTTTACATTCCTTTTTTTATTGTGAAAATACCATACAGAGGGTTTACAATTACATGGGCAAGGTAATGAGTACATTTCTTCTCCAGCTTTGTTGCCTCCTCCTGTGTTTCCCCTTCCCATCCTATATTTCATTTCTTAGAAGCCACTTTCATAAACTATGGTTTTCTTGTTCAAGACCTTAGTGTTTCCTTTTCTGCTTGTTTTTGTTTTTTGAAATAGAGCCTTACTACATAACCCAGGTTGGCCTTGAATTTATGATCTTCACGCCTCAACTTTCTAAATGTCTGGATTCCAAGAATGTTCCATACTCTCTCTTTCTCTCTTTTCAATAATGCCCTGAGTTCTTGGCTGTCCTTTTGAGTTACTAGTTAATTTTTATTTGTAAAAACCTTTAAGTCAGGGGCTGGGAAGGTGGCTGAGTGGTAGAGCGCTTGCCCTGCATGCCTGTGGCCCTGGGTTCGATTTCTCAGCACCACATAAGCAAAAAGAAAAAGCCGGAAGTGGCATTGTGGCTCAAGTGGTAGAGCGCTATCCTTGAGCTGATGAGCTGAGGGGCAATGCCCAGGCCCAGAGTTCAGGCCCCATGACTGGACCCCCCCCCAAAAAATAAGTAAAAACCTTTAAGTCAATAGGCCCTTTTCAAGTGTAACAATGATTTTCCCTCCGTTGTTTTGTTCACCTTTTGTCTCTGTTTATGTCTTGAGTATGTGTATATGTGTGGAGAGAGGATGTTAGCTTTTATGTATTCAAACACACCAGTATTTTTTTTCACTTGCTTAGAAAAATATTTTTTGTATCAAGATGACTCAATCTTGTACATTTTAATTCTTTAAGGCTTATATCTTTGAACCATTTGGAACTGATTTTTGATACACATTCAGGAAGAAAAGGATTTGACTTAGCTTTTGTTAATTGATCTTCAATAGTTACTACCTAATTCATGGTCATTTCTCCTCTATTGATTCAAGATGTCATCTCTATTTTATGCTAAATTACCTTTAAATATGGAATTAAAATTCCATATAGATTCAGTCTTGATTGTACTTATTCTTTTGTTTTTGTTTTTGGGTCCAGTCGTGGGGCCTGAACTCTGGGCCTGGATGCTGTCCCTCAGCTCTTCAGCTCAAGGCTAGTGCTCTACCACTTGAGCCACAGTGCCACTTCAGGCTTTTTTCTTTTGCTTATGGGGTGCTGAGGAATCAAACCCAGGGCCTCAGGCATGCAAGGCAAGCGCTCTACCACTGAGCCACCTTCCCAGCCCCTTGTTTTTTTTGTTTTGTTTTGCAAGTTCTGGGGCTTGTAAACTTAGGACCTGAGTGATGTCTCTAAGCTTCTTTTTGCTCCAGGCTAGCATTCTCCCACTTGAGCCACAGTGCCACTTCCAGTTTTTTCTGTGTATATGGTACTGGGGAATCAAACCCAGGGCTTCATGCATGCTAGGCAAGCACTCTACCACTGAGCCATATTCCCAGCCCCGTTTTTTTTTGTATTCTTTTAAGTTTTGTCTGTTGAAATCCTTGGATATACCAATTGCTCAGATTACTATAGTAAAGATTAATCCGAATTTTTTTGGTTAGAATTTATAGTTAAACTGATACATAGGACTAGCAGGAGAGGGTTGAACTGTCAGGGAGGGTAAAGAAGGTTGACTATAGTTGAATTAGATTATTTGCAGCTATGAAAACAAAAAAGAAAACCTGTCTTGCCCATGTAATTGTAACTCCTCTGTATGGTATTCTCACAAAAAAATAAAAAAATAAAATAAAACCTGTTGAGGATGCTATTTGGGGGAGAGGGTAGCAGGGAATATGATTAATAGGGAAGGGAGATTGATTAGAATAATAGTTTAAATATGCATGAAGATGTAATAATGAACTTCCTTTCTGTATAACTGAAATAGCTAATAAAAATAAGCAAATTAACAAACAAACAAACAAAAAAGGCCAGGTGGTGGTGGCTCATGCCTATAATCATAGCTACTGAGGAGGCTGAGATCTGAAGATTGTGGTTCAAAGTCAGCCCAGGCAGGAAAGTACAAGAGACTTTTTCTCCAATTAATCACCGAAAAATGGAAGTGGTGCTGTGGCTCAAAGTGATAGAGCACTAACCTTGAGCAAAAGAGCTCAGTGACAGTGCCCAGGCCAGGAGTTCAAGCATCAGGACTAACAAAAAAAGCTTATGTACAAGAAACAATCAAATAAATAACTACAAATGATTACATTTGCTCCAAGGAAGATTAACAGGATGTTATAATGCATGTGTGTGTTTGAGAGACAGACACAGAGAAAGAGCGAGACCAAGACAGAGATCCCTTAAATTTTAACAGGACAGGCTGGGAAGGTGGCTTGCCTTTCATGTGGGAGGCCCTGGGTGTGATTCCTCAGGACCACATAAGCAGAAAAAGCCAGAAGTGGCGCTGTGGTTTAAGTGGTAGAGCGCTAGCCTTGAGCTGAAGAGCTGAGGGACAGCACCCAGGCCCAGAGTTCAGGCCCCATGACAAAAAATAAAAAATAAAAAACAAAAAACTTTCAACAGGACTTTTCAAAAGCTAACATAGATCTATTTTACTTTTTTTTTCTTTTTTGTTGGTCGTGGGGCTTGAACTCTGGGCCTAGGTGTTATTCCTCAGCTCCTCAGCTCTTCAACTCAAGGCAAGCGCTCTACCACATGAGCCACAGCTCCACTTCTGGTTTTCTGGTGGTTA